TTAGCTGTGTTATCTGGTTCGTATCGCAAGAGGCTTTTTATTTTTATTACTTGTATATAGTTTTTGTTGTAGGTGACAATTTAACTATGAGGAAACAATTTTCGAAGCTATCGTTCTACGATTTTCCTTATATCTATTGATTGGATGTTTAATAAGTACTTTGGTTTTATTATTTTCGTATTACCCTAGTTTCAAGCTTTTATTTGAACCGTAAACTTTTGCTATACCATTTTCTACTCATAAACTAGAACCGATTATATGTTCACCCAGTACTCCGTTTTCCCCATCATTAATGCAGTTGTTTCATGTTAATACTTAGCTGTTTCACTGCGCGGTCTGGTCTTGTATGTATATAAATAAATGTCTGAAATATGGTAGCGATCATGGACGGGTGATCATTGGTCTTGTGTTCTTCCTCTTCATGCGGGGCTAGTTAGTGTTGAGCCGACCGTCAAGCATAGAGTACCAGTCGTCCTCCTCTTTGCTATGTATTGGTTGATTATGGTCTTCTGCGTGTATTGGCGGGTGGTAAGACATAGCAGTTCCCATTTTATTTCTTCTTAGTGTTGTTACCTTTTTTAGTTGTCTGTGTTCTACTTAGAACTATATAACTCACCCACCCATAAACACTTAAATACATAAATTATGAATTCTTTGTTATGCATAGTTTTGATTGATGATATCCAGGTGGCCGAAATTGTATGTCATTATCTCAGACAACTTCAATCAACTTAACCTATTATGTATTAAGTTTACTCTAGAATAAATTAGTGCTCTTTAGGACCAAGTATCTTTTTTTTTAACAGTAAAGTATTATGACCTCAGCGTTTCGCTCTTTTCTTTAACACTTCAAAGGAAGGCGCTTTGAAAATTGTTGATCGTGTAAAAAGTATGTTCAAGTTGGCACAGGGCGAATATGTAGCTCCAGAAAAAATAGAAGTGATTTATCAGAATTGTCAACTTATAGACCAAATATTTGTTGATGGGAAAGCGGAACAAAATTTCCCTGTCGCTGTTGTCACTCCGAATTTCGTAAACTTACGTTCATGTATTAATTCTTACCTAAAATCTGGTTGTAATGTAGATGACGGGAAAATATTCGATCTGAAATCATCAGATATTTCTCGATTATCTGACACCGATATTTGCAAAAACATAGAAATTCGACGATTTGTTTTGCGAAAAATGAATGAAGTCGCAACAGAAAAGGGATTAAAGATATTTGAAATGGTAAGTGTTGAAGTTATCTGGTAATTTCCACCTTATCACTGAAAGGACTTGCTTACATTTTATTTAGCTTCTAATTCTCGTGTTTACATACCTAAACTTTTCAATGTAGATTATGTTTTGTTAATTGTAGCTTAGACCGTTTACTAAAAGTCGGTTATGTAAGATACATGGGTTTTTATTTTGATTGGAACAAAAGCCGCTACCCTGATAATGTCGATCCAGTATACTGCGTTTCGATGCACAAGCTAAATTTTTAGGAAAATTTCAACATTACGACTTAACATTTCTAAATAAAAGTTTGCTAATATAATCAGTTGAAAGAGCTTTATACGAAACAAAAAATCTTATGTTCTGATGAGATGATATTCAACTGATAGGTATTGTTTTAATCGTGAAATGTGTATGTCCTGAAATAGATTCTATATTGAGTTGAGGAATTCAAGGTTTTGTATGTTTATGGTAGGCTCCAACTAGTCATATAGGTACTTCGTTACGCCTGTTACTCCCGATGGAGCATTGGCCACCGACCAGCATTCTCTAACCCACTCTGTCCTATGCCTTCTTTTCTAGTTCTATCCAACTTTTGTTCATCCTATTCATATGTCTCCATTTCTCAGCGTAATGTATCTTGCAAAGAACTGCAACTAGTCGAATAGTTTGTCCCCATTTCCCATAGATAATGACAACACTATTCATTGTTTCGAATATAGCTTAGACAAAACAAAAAACTTGATTCTTATAAATCATATGAAATTCTAAATTAATTTCAGTGGTTGAAGCTAGACCACCATGGAAAATCTGGAAGGCAGTTTCGTCCCATTGTGGGACTCCTCAGCAGTGCGCATCCCCGATCGAGTGGATAAATGTACGCGCGCGAAACTGATAGGTCCTGAGTTCGAAACCCGCAAGGCGGGATCGTAGATGCGCACTGCTGAGTGTCACAGTAGAACGAAACGGCCGTCAAGCGCTTCCAGGTTTTCCATGGTGATCTAGCTTCAATTGACTCATGATCTCAACCATTAAAATTACTATAATATCCACAAAAACCCTTCTCTGATAATAAATTATTGTTGACAGAATGTGGAAAACTTCCCCACCACCTTATACAATAAATCTACAGGCGAATATAAATGGGGTAAAAGTTAGTGAGAATTGATCGTGGTTATCTACAAAAAAGCCCTTCTAAATAAACTGTTGTGAACTTCAAGGTGACAGTATTAAAGTCATAGACTTGTGAATGTAGTTGGAAAACAATTTTATAGTCTGAAAGACGACGCATGCTTTATCTACCTATGAATTAATATTTCTAAATCGGGTAAATATAGTACATTCGTGGATGTTCCGACATTCGGGTTAGGGTGAAATTTTCATTAATGAGGTGTCTTCTACTTGTTGACAAATTCAGTCATGTTGGAGTAAAGATGACGCTTTTTTTGCTGTAATTAATAAAATATATTTTTAACTCATATATCCGATCCAAGTTGATGGTTTTAAATTTTTTCAGGTACAATCTATCTACCTAAATGATAATCCATTTACTGTTGAAAATGGATTGTTAACTCCAACCATGAAAATATCACGTCAAAATGCCCGTCGACACTTTCAATCTATCGTTGAATCACTATACTCGGAAAGAGATGTTCTGAAGGCCAATGCATAAGTAACATTTGTAATTAATAGCTCAATTTATCCCACTGCCATTGTTTACTATCTTAAGTCAAAAAATCACGTCACATACGGCAATCATCCTGTTGTCCGTATATAAACAAACACAAGGGGAGCACCCCACTGTTATTTCTTTTTTCTACTACAATTATATTGTTTATTGACGTTTTTAATTCGTGCAAAACCATCCATATTATACATGTATTTCTATTTTATTCAGTGTATCCTGGGTGACAATTTACCGTAAGACTCACTCCTACATATTTATTTAAAATAACTTATATTTCTTCAATTGAAACAGTAAATTACAAAAATCCGACCACGCAAGATAGATAGTGGGAATATAACGAATATTGTAAAGCGACTTAAAAGGAAAATTCATTTAAAAAATATTTTAGTTACGAATATGTTGCCGTATTTACCAGTAATAATTCATGATGAATAGCCAAAAAGTTAATTCAATAGTCATACACATTGTTTTACACCTCAAATTGTGTCCATAGTTCATTGATTGATGTCACTATTGTATTCAAGGTGCGCTTAGCTGCACCTCAACTGTTGAAAGTTCGTAGCAAATGAGTTAGCAAGTTATCACTGTTTCAGTTGATTTAACCGGCAAACCTCTTTAGCTCGTATCCGAAAAACCGACCCTTACATCAGGAAAAACTGCTACGTCGGCAAAGATTAGACTTTACATTTAGACATTTTGCAACTTAGTTTGGAATTCATTAGTCTTTTCTGCTAAAGAGATATACTACTGTTTATCTCGCGTAGTGATCACCTACTTTAGGATCTTACCAAGTGAAACTTTGCAGATGGGCTTATCGTGTCAGTGCTTGAATGTATATCATAGCATCGTGTTAACTCTGTAAAACATGAACCTCCTATTTAGTTTTGAATGTAATACTTGGGACTAACCACGATTGTGGAACGTTGGTTATAAAAGCCAGATAGGAAGTATGTTGGCAGAATTTTTTCAGCATGGAGGAAAGCACCCTTGCCTACTTAATTTTAGCAAGCACGGTTCAGCATTTATAGTCAGATAGAAAAATAAGCTTAAGGCAGATAATAAGTAGAGTGATGAACAAATATATGCACGTTTGAGAACTGATCAAGGTTAAAACTGAATAGTTGACAGCTAAACATGTGTATACAATAATTTGTCTTTCCAAAAGTTAGAATAAGTTCATGTATTTTCTACAAAACAGCATTACTAGTATATGTTCGTATTAACATGAGGTGGGTTAGATGTCTAAATCAGGAGCTGGCAGTCGTATCACTTCTAGTCAATCATGACACAACTTTTACGAACCTGATTTGTTAATTATTCAAATCACTACGACTATTGGGACTTTCCTCGAATCTCCTAAAACTAGCATGGATACCTATTTTCCAGTATTTCTAACAAACTGATTTACAGTGTAAAGATCGGATTTTTTATCAAGACCTTCACTGTAACTCAAATAGTATATGCAACATAACCGAAAACACTAACTTTTTCCATTATCATGCTTATACTACCGGCCTCCATCATTCCCGTTTAACAAAAATTGAGTTCTCTTTACTCTAGTGCATTTTTTCAGGGCTGTGATATATGACCAATTTACACTTATGGTAGCGTCAGTCGGAAGTAGGAATGTACGTTTAATAAAACTGCACGACAATAAGTATCGGACAGAGTTACTATAACTGATTTACTAGAAATTTATCAATTCGAGAAACGATGTATATGTACATCAAACTCGAACTAGTAACTCTCTGCATCTACATGTTTTGTATGAAGATATCACTTCATTTAACCTTAAACTGTATAATTTCATATTGCATCTGCATGGTCGAGCTAGATACATTGCGAATTTGTTACTTACCTCTGATAGGTAAACTACGGATTTTTTTAACAAGCGATCAAAAAGTCAGCCGTTGATACTTTCTTATGTACGACTTAGTAACAGCTAAATGTAATATATTTTTGAGACAGAGCAAGTGCATTCGCCATTTTAAAAAAATTCAAAAAACAAATGAATAGAAGAAGTCATGCGGTAATATGTAGTCGGTTATAATGTTCGACTATTTATTTTCTTATGAAATACAGTAAATGTACAAATTTATAGTGCATAATTCAGCATTACGTCTTGTTTGGCTAGTTCTAGCAACATAGGATCATCAAAGAATTTGTTGATACTTACATCTTCATTCAAACCCTAAAAGGTAATAGATATTTTTTAGCATAATAAAGGTATTAATTGAGGTGAGATGTTAACGATTGTATAGATTGTTTTTGGCGTGCATCAGTGAAGACTAATAGTAAATGACAAAATGTCCCCGAAAAGGTAAAAAATTATTGCTCTAATAACCCCACCGTCGCTGCTACACTGACGTGGTGGTCGGGTTTGGCTATTGTGATGAACCAATCGAGCTATACTAACCGGAACAACTGTTCCGCAAAGTCCTACCATGCCAGAAAAGCCAGTTGAAAAGCACTAAGACTAAAAGCAGCAAACCCAAGATCCGAGGGTGAAGTCTTACAGCTGACTGTACAGAGGTGTGACGGCAGTAAGGTGTTCCTTTCAATAAACTAGCATAACAGCGATGCTTCCCTCCCACAAGGAGGGATGCGGTTAGAAAAGGTCGACCCTAAAAATGCACACCTCACCTTACCCCATGGAAATACATATCTCTAAAAGCACTCTGGATCACTATATTCATAATCAGTTTCCCTCATCAATCCCTATCCCGACTATCGACTCTAAACTCCCTCCTAATGTGTCACTATGATTAACGATTGTAGTACACGAGAAATTACCAGGTCAACTGAAACTCGGTTCCACACTACAGAATGGAGTTTTCAAAGGACGTACTCTATGTCAAGTTGGTCATCAGGCCCCTTTGACAAAGACACCAGAATCTCGTACGATTGGTGTATGATGTCAATCCGAAACATGCATACAGGATCAGAGAACGGTCAATCACTTGAGCTCACCAAGCTAAAACTGGGACCCGACGAGATACACTGGAATAGACCTACAGACTATAAATGAGGTTCAGAAAGCTACAGCTAAACTAAAACAAGGAAAAGCAGACTGTCTAGATGGAATGAAAGAAAACGTTTTTAAGAACCGTGGTCTAGTTTAAGCGATTAGGTGGACTAATATTTCAGCTAAAATCTGGGAGTTGGACATAATCCCATCTGACTGGTCGCAACACAGAAGGAGTCAAAATCATCCTGTGATAATTATAGAGGGCTAGTTTAAGTAATATAGTGTCTGAGATACTAGCCTCAATGATTATCGGACGCCTAACAAAGACGCGTGAACTGCAAACACGAGGAAATCAGGCCGCCTTCAAACCTGGTCGTGGCTGCATTGACCACATCTTCACCCTTCGTCGGGTTCTAGAACACAAGCATGCTTATTGGCGTCCGACAACGATAGTTTTTCTCAACTTAAAAGCAGCATTTGACTCTGTAGACCGAGAGGTTCTGTGGCAGTGTCTGTCATTGAAAGGTGTACCTCAGAAGTACATAAACCTCGTGAAGGCTCTTTACTTGAACAATACCAGTATAGTCGGAGCTTGCGGCGAACTGTCATCTGATTTTGCAACCCCAAGTGGTGTCCGGCAAGACTGTCCCCTATTTCCATTTTTGTTCAACTTCATAGGCCTACTGCTGGGAATAACATTCTCTTCGTCTGAATTTTCGGGCATTGATCTCCCTCCAGGAGGTCCACTTATCGACTTAGAATACGCAGATGATGAAAACGCCGATAAAATGCAGTGTATTGGTAGTACTGAACAACAGTGCTATCATGTCTGGGATGCGTTCCTCCCCCTCTAAATGCAAGTTGTTGCGTCAACACCTGAACTAAGGATAAGGAGTGAAGTAGTCGAACGCATCGACAACTTCGTTTATCTTAGAAGTCTAATCAGCCCCAATGGGTTGGTGTCTGAATAAATCTCAGTACAGATTCAAAGAGCTCATTTGGTTTTTGCCAACTTACGTCATCTATGGCTTAGGCGATATATCCGTCTATCAATTAAGGCACGAGTATACTGCTCAGCAGTTCGTTTTGTTTTACTTTATGGCTGTGAAACGTGGTCATTAAGAGTAGAAGACACTTGCAAGTTACTAGCATTTGATCACAGATGTCTTAGGAATATTACCAGCATCTGTTGAGATCACCGGGTAAGTAATAGTGGGGTTAGACGCAGAGTATTAGGGAATGATGGTAAATCGATTGATGAAGTTGTAAATCTTCACCGACTAAGATGGTTGGGCCACGTATTACGCATGCCCGACCACCTATTATTACAGCGCGCAATGCTGACTGGTGTTGGAGACAGATAGGTTAGGATCGATCAAACCAAAACGTAGCATCAGTCCATAAAGTCATTAACTTCTGGTCTGAGCCATGTTGGTAGATGCGGACTACTTAGTTGGGGTCCGCGCAACTATCGTAACCAATGGTTGGAGACTGCTGTGGGTGACATGCCTCAGAATCGGTCACAATGGCGTAGGTGTATATACCTCTGTCTGCCCTTAAACAGTGAGATTGAAATTACTTTATACCTCACTTTCTATGAACTAATTTCTCCTGCATCATATCCTTATACGGAATCTTTTTTACTACTACTGAAGTAACTGGTTCTATGAACTTGGTGTTCATCTTGTTGTACTGATGAGATATGGCAACTTGGACCGATGCATATATGTGTCTGGTCCTACTCTGTAGCTGACTGATTGTTTCAATAAAGATTTGTAGTAGACAACAAAACAAGAGGCTGACAAATAAAATGAAAACTTACAATCACTAGTAGTATTTATAGTTTCAGCCTGTATTTACATGTTCTAACGATTGTTTGCTTGTTACACTTTTGTGTAATAATAAAAGTTAATATATAGATAGTCTTATCAAAAATAATGGACGATACTACAAGAAACATTTGTTCCAGTGTTTGTATAGCACATTTCTTGAGAATATGATGAAAACTCAAGAAAACATGTTTTCTTGACTCTTTTTAATTTCTTTATTTTCGTTTACTTTTCAAACACCCAAGACCACACTTCAATAATTTTACTAACCTTTCTTCTACGAGTTTTAACCATAAACTCCCGAGCCAAATGAGTAGCAGGCTGTGGGACCAAAGGCTGTATTTGAATTGAACGATCGAGAGGATCTCCTGGAACCATTTGCCAGTGATTAAAAACAAGCATACAAAATGCCTGTCCTTGAGAATGAGTTCGAAGATCTGTCTCGAATCCAAATGAATCAATGACGGGTACAAATGCACGGATAACATACAAAGGAGATCCAGATATAGGAGCATCATGTGTTACATGACCACTGAAAATTAAGTGAAAACAAGTTAACTTTGTAAATTTAATATTATTTTTCCGTTTATCGGGATTAGAAAAGCGATTTACACCTCTAACAAAAAATATGAAAAACAGTCTTCATTCTATTATTTCGTAATCTATTAATATGCCTACCAGTTTTACGATATAGTCAATTTAAGGCAAGGAAATTTATGGATGCGATTTTTGTCAAGCTTTTTTAATGTGGTGGTTGGGACTTAAACGAAATATTCCGAAGGTACTACATAAACCACAATATATACATGTAAATACTTATTTTCAAAGATACTCTATTCGCTAACACATTCATTACTTTCATCATGATGTAGCTATCAGATACAAATCTTTCCAGTACTTACCAGAGGTGTGCACACTTAACAGCTATACTTTTGTTGCATGAGGTGTAGTAATTATTAATTGGTTGATCAAACTTAGGTAGAAGGGAGATTTGACGTGTGACCTGGCTACTGAAATGTCAGTGCTCCTAATTCTAAGTCTCCACCCACATATGATCTGGATGTAATTCAACAAAACTACAGTATATGTTCAACGTTATTCTTAAGAAAGCTACAAAAACATTTTACAATTATACAGACCAGATGAAGCCTAATTGTTGAGCACTTCATAACCGTTGATCGTAGAGTTTCATAATTACGTGAATACAATTGTTGGATATTTGTCTGTACTATTCAATAAGTATTGGAGTGAATAACTTACCGACGACGAGCAAGAACTGTATATACCGCTGAAACACAATCCGCAGGCGCCTGTACCTCAACCAAGTAATAAGGTTCCATCAAGCGAGGTGTAGCCATGAGGAAAGCAGAGTAGGCAACTCGGCGAGCTGTAGGAATTATTTGTCCAGAACCCCGTTGGTGTGCTTCGCCAGAAATCAGAGCATCTAATATTTTAAATTTCACATTGCGAATTGGTTCGTCACACAGTGGTCCTTCACGTGTACCCCATTGGAAACCCTATATAATGTGGAATGAAAACACAATTAGTTCATGTATATTGATAAAATGTTATGTTAAAATACGAATATCCTGTATTCATAGAAATCGCTCATAAATATTTATCACAGATAAACAATAAATAATTATCTGCTTTTAGTACTCAATATGAACAAAATAATACATAACTATAAAAGCAAAATAATATAGAGCTGTAACTCACCTGCACGATATAATCTTTGACAGTAAGTAGTAAATTCTTATCAACTTCAGACGGTAATGTATCATCCATTAGTATATTCGGACCAGTAGCGTCTGGCCCAAAAGCCCATATAGACCTGTTGGACAAGACGCAGTAATAATAATATATACACAAATGACTAAGTTCCCTATTTACAATTTGGATAACACGAGTTACTACGGTGTGTGTTACGTAACGTTAATTTGAGCAGATAAATACAAGACTGGGATAAGGGATGTTTTCAGTTAATCAAAATAAGAGGTAGAACAACTTAATCGCTGTCGGTTTGGGGACCGTATGTTTACACTAGAAGAGATTATTTATAAGAGTTAAAGAAATATGGAAAGTAAATATCACGCTACAAACACAACCAGGACTCATGATGTGTTGCGTTAAAATGAATATTTAACTCGACAAAATTCTGAATTAAATTCATCATAATAACACATAATACTTATATATGAAATATGAATTCGTAATGATAACTGCGGTAATAATATTTAATAAACATACTATACATAACGAAATTTAACAAGTCTAATTACCTGGACGCAAGCAAATCCCAGTCATACTTTTTCTGGAAAAAGTCTCCGAGTCGCTTTTTTGGCCAAGTGATTTGCACAACCTTATTCTCTATGTCCTCAGCTAAACCCTTATCGAGTGGCTCAGCGATCATAGTTAACTTATTTCTGATTATAAAGTAAAGATTTGTACAGAACAGATAAAAAAGTTAGCACAACAAAGTCTTATGCATCCCAGATAAATCAAAAACAAAATTAAGTCGTAATTTAAATGCAGAATTTTAATACAATCGTTATTATTTGATTTCTTGAACAGTATTATTATATAGAATAGATGGGATATGGTCATTAGTGAATTATTCATCAACAATCAGTAGCTAGATGGATAACGCGATGGCATTTGAGGCGAATGGTACTGGATTTGAGTCCCAGTGTAAAAATCAACCCTAGGATGCAGGTACACTTTACTGACGAGTCCCAAAGAGGATGAGACACATCTTGAATACCGTCGCTAGCCCTGTCCATACAGGATACTCATATTCTAACCAAGAATGATTAAATTGCAGTCAAAAATATCAACGGGATAATCCAAACAATCTCAAATTGAACCAAGTATTGATATAGTCCTACCGAAATACTCACTTGGCACTTTTACCAAGTATTTCACACAAAGCGATAGTAAACTTTCAATAGAGAATTAGTGCAAATAATATGTTGGGAAATAAATAATGTCTTTAAGCCATGAATGTTCTTAGAAATCCACAGACAGATGTATTACATCTCAATCACAAATTCGTATAACCAATTATATGTAAGACTTATTTATGTGATGGTAATGCAATGCTCTGGTTTTCACTGCTTGACTGCAGTTTATTGAAGTGCGAAATTTACTTTCAATTACGAGTGCTAACATGCATAACATATACCTTCAGAAATTCTTGTAGATCACCTTCATAAAAGGTTGTTTGAAATGCCAGCTTAAAATAAACTTCATGTTTTAAACTTATGAAACTACTTGAAAAAAGGGTTTAACAAAATGAGAATTTATTTGAGAAAGAAATTTTTGAATAAAAAACTGGAAAACACATCATTTAATAAGAATCATGTATTAACACCACGTTCACTGTAGAATCCTTAAGAAATATGGAATATTAAGAAAAGTTATATTTTAGCATTCAAAAAACTTATTACTTTTGGGAAAAACGACCACTCACAAATGTTTTGTTTCCTAATCAAAATAAGTTAATTATCTACAGAGAATCTGATTGTGAAGATTAACGACAAAATTGTAGATTTCTATTATTTCCTCGACTAAGTTAAAAAACTACTTCTCATGCCCCTTATTGTATATACTTTCATATATGCATAAACTAATATTCATAATCTAAAACACTATACAACTGAATCTAAAATCTTTAGATTATGCTCCCATAGAACTAAATGGTTACACAAAATATTTAGTTTAAGAACTCCCTTTTAAAGTGGATAGAATAATCTCAAAGTAGTCGAGCGCCGAGTTAAAGTAAAGCATCAACGAGCATGTATATTCCATCATTTTGATTATATTTCCTTGAAAAAGATTGGAGGAGATTGCCAAGAGAAACGTTGAATTCAATCAATGAGATTCATACAAAACATAATTTCCCCCTGTCATATATTTACAGTTTATTGAGTGTCAACAAATATAACCAGTGAAACTTTTATTACATATCAGAGAACTAAATAAATGTGATAACAGAAGTATCAACTTGAAGTCTTCTCAAAATGCAAACAAAAATGAGTTCGGAAATTATCTAAAGATTAAGAAATAGAATTTTTCACGAACACTAACCGTTGTGCAACCCCATCAGGGAAAAAACGGATATCATTTAAAATGTAAGAAAATGCTGTTCAATAATATTACATTGACATGTGTTCTTGAGAGATTTTTAATAAAAGCTTACACAAAAAACTCACTTCTTATTTGGTGTTTCAGCAAAGCATTTCAAAGAGGAAGTTTCCACAACTGTCTCGCAAAACGCTACAACAGGATCAGCAACTTTCACATCTGATTAAAAAATATATATACAATTACTTCAACTACAACTGGCAAAACATGTAAGGAACATTACGTAATTATTATAGCATATAAATATATACTATGCCCCCAAGTGCCCTGGTACGGCCGAGAATGGAGAAAGTCAACTCTCCCTCTCGAAGTGCTTTCACACGGCTACGCGTATACAACCACTGCCTGGGTAGTCCTACTCACTAACTTCTCACGGCAAAGATATGGTTTACGAAACTGAGAGGACGAAAAGCGAATGTCAGGCGCTTTAAGCCGGTTGGTGGACACAGAAGGTTCACTTAGGAGAGTGGGAAAACCCTAATTCCAAATCAATGGTGCACATGGGCTCCAGTATCCTGAGGGAACAAATAGCGTACGAACCAATTATTGGTCACTGGTTAACAAGGGACTGAATTTCCTGACGTTGCTCCACTGCCTTAAGGATTAGTCAGTCAGTCAGTAACAACGTAGAACTTCGTACGTACGTACATCAGTTCGAGTTGCCACACCACATTAGCACAGAGATTCAGTTGTCGATTCAAATCCCGTAGTGGTAGAGGTAATAAGAGTATAAGCAGTAATCGGGAAGATTAGGGTTTGCAGATGTTATTTAAGGAGTATAATCCAGTGAAATAAATTTGGAAAGAGGAAAAAAAGACATGAAGAATTCAGAAGATTAGAATTTGGGAGAACACAGAGAGTGGATGCACCTGCGCCATTGCAAACGATTTTGAGCCATGTCATTCAGGGTCTCTAACCATCGGTTGCTATCATCTCGCGGTCCCCAACCATGTAGTCTGCACCTACCAACATGACTCAGTCCACTTGTCAGTGACTTCATGGATTTGTGCCACGTTTTGGTTTGGCCGCCCCTAGCTTTCTTCCAACCTACTCCTATACCACTGAACATAGCACGTCGAGGCAGTCGGTCGTTGGGCATACGTAACACGTGTCCCAGCCACCTCAACTGATGAAGTTTCACTACTTCATCTATTGATTTGCCATCCTTACCTATTACCCGTTTCCTAACAACTGTGTTACTTACTCGATGGTCCCAGGATATACGAGCAATGTTTCGAAGACACCTATGATCGAATACTAGTAACCTACGAATATCCTCTACTCTTACCGGCCATGTTTCACTGCCATAAAGTAGGACGGAACGAACTGCTGCGCAGTAAACCCGTCCTTTGGTTGATAGACGGATATCTCGCTTACGCCATAAATGACGCAAGTTGGCAAAAGCTAGTCGAGTCTTCTGTATCCGTGCTGAGATTTCGTTACACACCAGACCACAAGGGCTGATGAGACTTCCAAGATAAGTGAAGCGGTCGACACACTCAACTACTTCACTCCCTATCACTAGTTCGGGTGTCGATGTAAACCAATCCTGAAGCAACATTTTGCATTTCGAGGGAGAGAATCGCATGCCGAACATGCTTGCATTGTTGCTTAGAGTGGTCAGAAGACTCTGCATTTTGTCAGCGTCTTCACCAAATAAAACTATGTCACCTGCATATTCTAAGTCAACAAGTGAACCTCCCGGTACAAGTTCAACCCCTGGAAATTTAGATGAGGAGAGTGTTATCTCTAAAAGTACGTCGACCACAAAGTTGAACAAGAACGGGGAGAGTGGACAGCCCTGACGAACACCACTTGAGGTAATCAATTCTGATGACAGTTCGCCATGAGTTCTCACTCGACCAGTTGTGTTCGAGTAGAGAGCCTTTATAAGGTTAATGTACTTCTTTGGTACTCCTTTCAGTGACAAACACTGCCATAGAACCTCACGATCAACAGAGTCGAATTCTGCCTTAAGGTCGAGAAATACTACGATTGTGGGGCGTCTGAACGAGTGTCTGTTCTAGAACCTGACGTAGTGTGAATATCTGATCTATACAACCACGTCCAGGTCGAAAACCGGCCTGGTTTTCTCTAATCTGCTCTTCACGAGCTTTGATTAGGCGTCGAAGTATTATTGAAGCTAATATTTTAGACACTATATTAGTCAAACTGATTCCTCTGTGATTGTCACAAGAGGACTTTTGTCCTTTCTTATAGACTGGCACAATCAGTGATTGAGACCAGTCAGATGGGATTACGTCCAGTTCCCAAATTCTACCTAAAACCTCAGTCAATCTCATTGCTAATACTGGACCACCATCCTTAAAAATCTCAGGAGTAAACCTGTCAGGGCCTGCTGCTCTCCCTCGTTTCAGATTTCCTATGGCTTTTTCAACTTCGTAAAGGGACGGAGGACCTACATTAACTTGCCATTCAGGTTGACTAGAGATTGTGGGAAACCGAAGTGTGGCTGAAGGCCAGTTGAACTGATCCATAAAGTGTTCTGCCCATCGATCCAATCTCCTGGATTGAGAATGAGTAATATGTCCATCGTTCTCTGAGATTGTTTCGCTAACGGTCGGGTTCCTAATACAGGTTTCCTTAACGAGTCTGAACAATTGTCTGCTGTTACCTATTGTCGCTGCCTTTTCCATCTCTCTTGCTTTCGCTACCCACCACTGTTCGCGATCATTACGCAGACTTCTTGTCAGCTTGCGCTTAAGCTGACTCCGCTCTTCATTATGTTCAGAGCCGGGTGGAATGTGTTTCCGAGCATCTATCAGTGAGATAGATGCTGCTGAGATCCAGTGTTGCTCCCTAACCTTGTGGTTTACCTTACTAGCAGATATCACTGCTGTTTCCACAGCTTTTCGGATATCATTCCATGCTGCATCGGGGTGGGCATCACATACATGGCTGCCTAACTGTTTTCCTAGTTGTTCCTGAAATATACTCTTAGCTTGACTATCATTAAGTAGGCCCCTAAGAGGTTTCCTTGCAGCGTTTTTCCTACGTTCAGTAAGACGCAAGCAAATACGCGACCTTCAGGTCGAAGGCTCCGGGTGTTGTCCCCTAAGAAAACCACCTGCTTCGGTCTGGGTACCCGGGCAGCATCACAACCCACACAAAATTCAAGTGACTTGAGTGGCGCATATGTATTCGGTGCCCTTTTGTATCAATATTTATGTGTTAAAATAAATAAATAATATTATGGTATATGCAAAATACTGGTAAAATTAAAAAACGATGGCTTGTTAGAATTCTCAAATAACAATAATTTATTTTCAGCTAAACTGTGGACAATAAACCGATTATCCACTATGATTCAGTCTAATTTTAGGTTCCGAAATAGCTAAGTGGATGGTGAAAACAAACAAACAAACCAGCTTATATGCGGCACACACTCTTTAGACCTTGGAAAAAAGGGAAGTTAGAATGACAGTGGTTGAGCAAGTACTTCAGAAACTTTATTTAAGGCCAAGTAGATTGAACAATCTTTAGTTGTACGAACAGTTATGACTTTTGAACATTAACTAAGTAAAACGGAGAAAGGATCAGTATTACATCATTGACCATCCATTTCACGAAACTCAGCAACAACTCATGCCATAAAAATAGTGGTAGATTGTTACATGAAAAATTGAACAGAACAGTAGCTCGGCGATTTAAGTACAGAATGCTAACTGTTATTATCTTTTTATGGTTACAAAGAGCAGAAACTTGAAATTATGAATTTTGTGCAGTTCCTCATTGATAGGTTTGTTTCGAGCTTATTATTAGGAAAAGTCAGTAAAAATTCTATTATGATCATTTTATTTGTACGCAAAACGACTTTAGTGATAAACTGAAGGAAACATCGAGGAAATCTGCACAGGATGCACATATGCCAGTAAGAGATTGATTAGTTGCAGTCCTAAACACGGAGGCAAAGATTCAAGCAACCAATACAAGAATGAATTAAACTTTAGTGATAGTTTAAAATTTCCTGAAAACTTACCGATATCAGAGTAGAGCTTGCGCAAATCGTGCATAACACAATCTAAATACAATTCACCAGTACCACGAATGACACGTTCACCTGATTCTTCAACCTTGGTGGCGAGGAGAGGATAACTTTTATTAACCTGAAATGGGGGAATTATTATAAAGTGGTCAAAATCATATTCATATGTAACATTAAGTCACTAAATCTATCAAGCAACATAATTTATAGTCTAAGTAGATAATAAGGGTTTACATGTGACATGGAACTGCGAAGAAATGTATAAGATGTTTCAGTTTACAGGGAAATCACTAGAGAACCATCTAGCTACTTCATTCAATGGTGTTTAATTTGGCAAATCATAACACCTACGTTTTCTCTCATAAAGTCCCTTTTAACTATGTGATAGACCAAGATATATGCGATGACGATCAATAAAGATAAAACTTATTAAAAACAACTTTAATTAGAAAAGATTTCAAAAAATATGAAAAGAATTATCGGAACCCAGGAGGTTACTTACTTTTCTGAGACCATCCAGCAATTTAGGTAACTCAGAAGGATTGGCAGGTTCCACGGCAATCTTAACAACTGAAGAAGTATTGAAATTTAAGGGTCTGAATATATATGCTCCACGGGCATCCGCTGATGTTAATGTAGCTGTTTTCACAATAGGATGATCGACACCCTCAATCAACACCCAATTACCCGCTGGTACCCGATTCACCTCCAGCTGGTAACTTGAAAATGGAAGAATTGAGTTAAAAAAGAGAACACGAAGAGTTACTTAAAATTATTCCAAAAAATGGAGACACAAAGATTGCTACATTACGTGGCTTTTATGAAAATTAACGTGCTTGAAGAAGTCTCAAACTTTTCCAGACATCAAAATTGAAAGATAGTGAATATATAAACCAAGAAAGCATTAGCTCAAACAGAATATTATCAGTCTGTTGAGTATGATCTAACTTGAAAATGGATTTCATCAAGTAATTAATTTACTATTTTTAAACACTTGAATCAAAAAACAACCTTGAACATTTAATAGCGGTGCCTAGGATCTCCGAAAATACAAAGCACGTATCCAATTTTTAATAAACGGGTTTACTATATGGAACATGGAATAAGGTAAATTAAAACAGTTTTTCGGTATTGTTCAATTTTTTAATGGCCATTTACAGTTGATATAAACAAAAACAGTCTAATTTCTATAGAGCTTCTTTACGATCAGGTTGTTTAATTTAGCGTAACAGAAATTAAAATGAAAATTTACACTTATTTCAGTTTGTGGTTTGCACGAATCGTTTAGTGGAAATCACTAGTTTGAAAGTGATTTTTCTAAATACATATCATAGGCATTAAGAAGAGTAAATTAACACGACTGTATCTAAAGGAGTGGAATATTTATTGGTCTAAAAGATTTTATTTAACCGCTATAAATAAAAATTTACTTACAGCATACAAGTACATTGCAACTGTTTCTTGGTTTTTTTTATGTTGACATGGTACTTTACATATATGAAATACAAAGAGATTGAATAGATGAACACTTATTGTCTGAAAAATCTAGACAATAATTAAACAACCGACAAATCACTGGTTAATAATGATACTTTGCACCACATAAAATTCGTAGTTATTTATGACAGGAAGTGATTGGTTTATTAAGACGGTAGGGAATGCCATGATTGGTGCTTTTCAACACTGTAATACACCGGTTAGTAAGATATGAAATACTCAGGTAAATTAGTTTACCAAGTGATCAAATATAAATCTTGCTCTGACATTGCCCCTATCATAGATACACACCTGATAAATATGATATTGACATAAGCATGTTGACTTGAATCAAATTTAATTGTGCCGTGAAAATCTTAGATCATTTTAATTGTTTGTTTATTCATATCTGAACAAGCTAGCAATATTTTAGACCATTAAGTTACAGGACGACCAAGGAGCCTACTATACTAGTTTTATTTTATTTTATTTCAACACATAGATAATGGTACAAAGAGGCACCAAATACATGTGCGCCACACAAATCTCATTCGATATGTGTGAGGGCTATGATACTGCCCGGGTGCCCAGACCGAAGCAGGTGGTTTTCTTAGGGGGCCACACCCCGAGCCTTTGACCTAATGGTCTGATCCACAAGGCAGTGGAGCATCGTAAGGAGATGCAGTCCCATGGAAGCCGGTGACCAACAATTGGTTCATACGCCATTTTTCCCGCAGGATACTGGAGCCCATATGCACTATTGGTTTTGAATCCGATTAAAGCGCCGGACATTCGCTTTTCGTCCTCTCATTTTCGTAAACAACAGTAATGCCACGAGAAGGCAGTGAGTAGGACTTACCTGGCAGAGGCTATATACGTGTGGCCGTGTGAGAGCATTTCGAGAGGGAGAGCGGACTCTCCCGACTCTCGGCCGTACCAGGGCATTTGGGGGCACTATACTAGTAGACATGTATTTCACTAATAGTCTTAAATGTATTTCATTCGAAAGTAACATAGCCTAGATAGATCTTGTTAAAACAATCTTAGACAAAAAACTAACGGCCAAATAGGAAACCAGTAGACATATTTTGTTATGTGGAGAATAAATATATTTGAATTATATAAGCTGTAATATATATCACCCTAAAATGTATAAAATTCCATGAATTTTTCTTCTACCAGAAGTTTATCGGAGAATTTGATATTTGTCAAATTTTAGATCAAGTTACATTTTATCTATTTTCTAAACGTAGCATACAACAGTGTTTATGGATATTTATACAGTAAATACTGAAACAGGGTCATGCGGTGAAATTAGATAGCTTGACCATTAAATACTTGCTAAAGACTCCAGGAAACTTCACATTTGAAATCCCTTCAACTTTGAACCCAAACAAATAGAATATGTTGTGAAGTAACTACTCACCGCGCGATAGATATCCACAAACGGCCAACTGTAGCTGGTCGTGAATCTTCTTCATCAGAAAGTGTGTAGTTCTCGCCTAAAACACGGACGGTTTGACCAGCAAATAAGGTACCACACATAACACGTCCAAAAACATGAAAAGAGATAGCTTCTTGATCAGGATAAAGTTTGGTAGTATGAACCATTACATGTTCGTAATTCATGTTGCATTTTATCATGGCACGTCCGAGATCGTTATCTAGTGTGCCAGTATACGTTGATCCCACTTTAGTTGCGGCTGAGTTAACTGGACTTGGTATATGTTCTGCACACATATTCACAAATCCTTAAAAAAAACGAAATGAAATTTTAAAGGTACAGATCCAAAAATCATACACTGAACTTTTTGATACTAAGTTCTAAACATATAGGTATTAATGATATCCCGTATAGGAAATATTCAATGACTTAAACTCTGCTATCTAACAATATGAAAGATTGACTGATTAGAAGTAGTGAACAACGACCTAATATCTATCATGAGATAACGTGGATGGCTTTTCCTCTATTTTTACTGAGACATTCTTATCTTTTAGGTACCTGGGACTAATGCAAGGAATATTATACCTTATGTCATAGGGAAAATAAGATCCACACGAAAAGGAAAGAAACATCGTAACATTGACTGGAATATGGAAACAAATCAAGAAACGCTTTCAGACAAAACAACTACAACGAGGATACTTCCAAACTTACCAGAGAAATCGCCAAAGAATCGTTTAAATATCAAACGCAAAAGTGGGCGTATATTCAGTTTCATTTCAGATTTCGTTAAATAGATACCCAACTCTGAACATAATGACGGCAAGCAAGTATCAACATCGCCAACAGTTTGAGCAAAAATCTTATATAAAGGTTCCAGAATAAAATCTACAAATGTTCGTTGTGAATTCGCAGAAGGTGGCCGTTTTTGAAATCTTCTTCTGTAATAGATTTAAAGTAAATTTGACAGTATTCCTTTTAAATCCGATGCAAAATCAAGTTATACTATGAGGCTGACAACCACAAAGCTAAAGTGATCCACTTGTTTATCAGTACAAATAGTTTTAAATGAAGGTTATAGGCATAAACCAGGCTCTTAATGGTTGCGTAACTTAGAACGGCTCGTAGTCTGAATAAAATTCCAGAATCTCCAAAATCCCTATGCTGATAATCTTCAGAAATTTGTCAAAAAACGTGAGCAATAATGGCCATCGAGTCCAATATTTTTTGTGTATAACGGTGACAGTTAAAGCTTATAAAAACAATGAGGACGGCAAATTAATGATTAAAACACGGCTTTTAATTAGTAAGTCACAGATTCAAACTCTCATCACCTACATTGGTTTGAATAGCCGAGTGGTATCATTAATACTCACAAGCAGTGTGACCTATAGCTCAGTATATAAACTTGTAGCTAGAAAACGAGTCCTTTCATGAAAGCAATTAGTAATTTATCGAACAATGAGAATTTCAGATAGAGAGGTATACTGAACATTATCATATCACTCAATCTATAAAGACAAATAATCAAAATAATAAGAGGGGTAAGAAACAATGTATAGCACACTAAATCGAAACTGATATATACATAATTTTTATTGAAATAACTGCATAACAGATCTACTATGGTAGGATCACTTTGTATCATTGGTTTAGAAACAATTTCCTGCTGAGGTTTGGGCACCTGGGAAGTATCACAGAACTCACACATATTAAATGTGATCTGTGTAGCGCATATGTATTTGGTGTCTCCTTGTACCAATATATATATATGTTCAAATAAATATATAAATTAGAAACAATTAAAAGATGGACAACACAAGTGAATCAGAATGTAATTATTTCGCACTTAAGAAATCTAGATCATTCAAACTAATGCTCACTGATGAAGAGATTGGCAACATGGAAGACTAACAAGAATTTCATACAGACCGTACCATAGTAAGTACAGACTACTTACAAATAGTAACAGAAATTAAAAGATTAGTGCATATTTAAATGAAATATTAACAAATCTTACGTTTTAGAATTAAAATATATATCACCCCATAAACGTCCAGCGAATTCTTTGTGATCCATACCGTTAGAAAATGTATCCATATATATTCTCGCAAAGGATTCCAAAGTAAAACAGAATCGGTAATAAGTACTTGCGAAGCATACATTTCCCAATAATGGGCTGACAACAGGTTGTGTATCATCCGTAATACCTAGAGACGTATGAGATAAAACTAAATTGACTGTTTCTAATATCAGTTTAGCTAGAAAAATATTAAATATCAGTAACATTGTCTGTTTCCTTACATCCCATCTGTTAATATAAGATTATGTTCGAGAAAATTCCAGTAGTTCAGTCGAATGTGCAGGGATGAAAGTTAGAGATGCCTGACTTTTCCATCATTTTTAGATCTAACAAACTTTAAGAGGGAAAGACTAATTAGGAGCACAATGGCTCCGAGAACATAACCAGATGAAGTAAACCCAAACAAGTAATTCCATGAGATAATAAAGCGGGCCATATATATATATATATATATATATATATATATATATATTTATATATACGAAAGATTCAATATTTTCAACAGAATGAACATATTCGACTAATAATTTGGCAAAAAGATAAAACTGGATCATATCAAAATCGAATATAACACAGAATATAGCGAAGAAAAACGTGCAATCTTCCTAGAAAAATAAATTGATAGAAACTTACCTGCACCTTCAGAATAAGTCAGAAGAATTGAATTTACTTCATCAATTATGTGCTTGATTTTGTAATACGCATCCATTGGTGGCAATTTTAGTTCAATTATGAGACGATCTATTTTGTTGATGCACAGTGTTACCGGTAGTCGTTCTTGTAGAGCATGTTTAAGAATACGTTCGGTGTTTAAAAGTACACCTTCGCTGACGTCCACCAACAGACAGATTCCATCAGCGAGTCGAAAAGCAGCAGTTACTTCATCGGAAAAATTGACGTGACCTAAATTACAAACACATTTTGAAAAACTGATCGATCAAATCAGGAGAAAATTTTAATGGGTCATTAAGTATATTTTCTGGATCAATGCTTTTATATACATTCACAGTACCTTAAAAAAATGGGTTAGAGCGGAAAAAACACTGTTTGACTGAATACAGTGATCCCAAAAAGGTAGAAATAGGGTTAATTCGATTTTGAAATGAAACGAGATACCTACAAGTGTAATGAACGAAGATTTAGGAGGGGGGGAAAGTTATATTATACAAAATTGAGGTTTGTAAAATATGAAAACAATTCACTAAATACCACCACCTTCACTGAATTGTTCTTTAAAAACTCCATCGTCCTTCCGTCCCTGTTGTTATTTTGATCGTTTTACATTTTCCTTTTTTGTCAGTAAGAATTCTACTTCCAGTTCCTGATACTACTTATATCTGTCCATTTAAGTAACACATACCACACAAGGAATAACCAAGGACTGGTAGTTATACAGATGAATATTAAATCATAGTATATTACAGAAAGATACAAATAATCGAGTTGGTGCTTATTCATCCGGGGATTTTTGGATTATGAAGACATATTGAGTTACTGAGAAAATTTGGTAAAAGAATAATCTCTAAGATGAGCATATTGTTTATGAACCGAAGAAAACCCCAAGAACCTTAGATTTCTGTCTTCTGATGTTAAAATACCTTCGTTGTACATTATCTAAGCCTAAGGAGGATCACCTGGGACTAGTTACTCACAAGAGATCCCGTTTTAGTCTTTCTGAATTCAAAGACTTCCAACCCTGTAATACAACTCACATTACCTGGGACGAAAGTTTACTTGATTATGTTTTAGAAGCTGAAGATTGTTGTTCGTAGAGTATTGAATTCTCAATCTACATTGGTCCGGAGAGTCAGAGAGTACCACTAACCCGGAAAATAGGCAGTGCCAGCCACAACTTGGCATCTCTCTTCATAAATGTAAGTTGTTTTAAAAACCAAAATTGCTAACCTCATGGTTCTAGCCTTGTGGTTTTTCACGACTCTCTAAATTCTTCAAAATAAAAAAGCATGAATGTTTAACTTCACCTGGAGCCTATACAGGATTACTAACGCTCTCAAAACAGGGTGAAGGATGGTTAAAGTTGAGGTTGTTAACTAAAGCCCATTACAAAAACGCCGACCAGAGAAAAGAATTAAAATCAATTAAACTCAGCCCTGGGAGTTGAAGGAGCTCCATTTGGTAAATATGGTTAGGCAGAGTGACCAGTCACAAGTAAGGAAGACAAACTAATACTAAAACTTAAGAGCAGCGGGACAGCCTCACTAAGCTCACTGAAAATCGAAACAGCACACGTAGAACTTCATACACATGATACCTCACTAAGAATAGAAATCAGCAAGGCTACCAAACAAATCAAGTGTGGGAAAGCAACGGGATCAGGTGCCATACCAGCTGAAGCTAAATACAGAAGTAACTGCAAAGACGCATGCTCCTTACAGAAAGGTTTGGAAAGAACAAGTAAAAAACTGGAAAGAAGGACACCTCATCAAGATACCGATGAAAAGAGAGCTACAGAGAAATCATAATACTGCCAGGACCAGGCAGTTTTTAACAGGGCGTCGCTGAAGTAGGTGAAAGATACAGTACACATCTAACCTTGCATCAACAAGTTGGCTTTCATAAGGATAGATCATGTGTCAACAAAATCGCGAAACAGTGGATGATTGATGAACAATCAATTAGATGGAACTCACCATTATACTTAAATCTCCTTGATTATGAGAGAGTATTTGACGGTGTGGGTCGAAAAGGTTGTGGAATCTTCCTCAATATTATGGAGCACTCGGAAAAATTGTCACTACTATAATTAAAGAATATCTGGAGCTCAAAACAACTGTCACTCAGAATTATACTGAGCTGGAACTTGAGTGATTGCCACCACCATCACTAAGAGAGTGTGGTGTGTGCCACTGATGTCACCAGATATAGGTAGTATGTATCATCAATCGAAAGTGAAATGCCTGGTGGCGAAAGTTTAAGATCGAAGAGAACGAGAACAGAGAATGATTGCTGTGGAAACAAAGGAACAATCAAGTCTGAGACGATTGATTGACATTTTGCTAATCAAGCATTTACTGTATGGTTCTCAGATTTTACTAGGAGGTTCTGTGCTTTTGTGTTCAAATACATTCAATTGCCCCAATTGTGTTCTTATTCACTACAAGAGTATAAGTATTCATAAACAACTGTCTAAGCAAGATTCTACAAATCCATCGACCACAGACCAGAAGCAATAACCTGCTCTAAAAGAGAATAAACTGACTCTCAGTTGAGGAAAAGATGCTAGTGATGGATAAGACATACTGAAGAAATCAAAGTGCATCCCAGGGTAAGCCTTAACTTGGAGTCCTCAGAACAAAAGGAAAGGAGATGGAGAACTGGAAGTAGATATCAAGAGTATGAATAGCACCCGGGAACAACTGGAAAGGAGAGTTCAAGACAAAGTTGGTTGGAGATTCCTCGTTGAGGGTGTTGTGTAGACTGCGGTCGTCTATTATGAAGAGAACTGATCGTATTAGAGTAGCTCAACCACTGTCTCGAGATCTGTAATTGTTGTAGGTCCATTCTTAACCCTAATAAAGTGACACAAGATAAACATTTAAATATAAACGTGTATATTTATCTACCTTCGTCATTCAAAGTAAACAAAGCCGCAAGTCGAAATACCAATTTTGAAAACTACGAATTGATTTACCCATCAATGAGCGGATAGTGTACAAGAAGCTTTGTCAAAGAATCTTCAAGTTAACATTTTGAAGTGCTCCAGTAACCATCTAGCCTATATAAACAGTACACAACCCAATACATATCAGAGAAACAATACATTTGGAAAAATCATTTTCCTAGTAAATGACCGAAATGAGTTATTCAAGAGAGACTGAAGACTTAGATGTACTGAAAAGATAGTTACATTATCTAACTTCAAATGTACGAAGAACATTGGAAATAACACCTTTACTGGAACTCACAAACTGATTGAATGTTTATTGCTAGTTTAAAATTAAAGAAGTCGGAAATATCAGGAGTCATAGGCACATGAATAGAAGAAACCAAACACCAGATAAATATGACATGTTTAGTAAAAATAAGATATACGTAAACCAAATACATTTTGAATTCTGTTTCGTGTTTTCAGGATTCGTTAGTCGAAAACAGTTAACGATGTTTAGTTGAACAGAAGAATCGAGTAGTCAGCTTCACACAAACTCAGTGTTTCTATCAATAACACGGAACTAACGAATTTCGTCTCTGATGCATTATGCGGTGCAAACATAAACAAATTAATGTGTGAAATGTCTCAACCAACCTGGTGTATCAAATATGTTAAACAGATACGACTTTTCTTGCATGCTGCGCAGCACCAAGGAGACTGGAGTAGATTTTATACTCAGCCCTCTTTCTACCTCCATGTGCAAGAAATCAGTGTACCTGAGCTGTAAAGTACAATTAGAAATTAGTGTATATGATATACCAAACGAAGAATAGATAAAATATTTTTATCAACAAGAACAAAATTAGTTAAACTGATTTTTAAAAACAATAAACATGAAGCTAAGTAATATTAGTTAGGAATGCTGAATCATGAAATCATTGTTGTTTCAAAGTCGATCAGTCTACAAAATAGGTCTTAGAATAAACCAAAATAAGGATGGATAAGAAAGAGAATAATTCGATCACATAAAATAGCCTTGCTATCCCAACTTGTGATAAGCATCGCACTAACCATTTGGTATACAAAGTAGCTAGATAGTTTCTTTTGACAGGGCAACACTTCGTCAATTGAGTAAATTTTGAGATTAAGAAAAAAAGTGATTTATGTTGAAACAGAGATGAAACTATACCAGTAGTATAAAGACAAAAAATAGGGAACATTCATCGACTCATGTCATCAAACGAATATTTCCAAAACAAGAATTAAATTACATCCATTTCCATGGTCGAGTCAGTCAGTCAGTAACAACGTAGAACTTCGTACGTACGTACATCAGTTCGAGTTGCCACACCACATTAGCACAGAGATTCAGTTGTCGATTCAAATCCCGTAGTGGTAGAGGTAATAAGAGTATAAGCAGTAATCGGGAAGATTAGGGTTTGCAGATGTTATTTAAGGAGTATAATCCAGTGAAATAAATTTGGAAAGAGGAAAAAAAGACATGAAGAATTCAGAAGATTAGAATTTGGGAGAACACAGAGAGTGGATGCACCTGCGCCATTGCAAACGATTTTGAGCCATGTCATTCAGGGTCTCTAACCATCGGTTGCTATCATCTCGCGGTCCCCAACCATGTAGTCTGCACCTACCAACATGACTCAGTCCACTTGTCAGTGACTTCATGGATTTGTGCCACGTTTTGGTTTGGCCGCCCCTAGCTTTCTTCCAACCTACTCCTATACCACTGAACATAGCACGTCGAGGCAGTCGGTCGTTGGGCATACGTAACACGTGTCCCAGCCACCTCAACTGATGAAGTTTCACTACTTCATCTATTGATTTGCCATCCTTACCTATTACCCGTTTCCTAACAACTGTGTTACTTACTCGATGGTCCCAGGATATACGAGCAATGTTTCGAAGACACCTATGATCGAATACTAGTAACCTACGAATATCCTCTACTCTTACCGGCCATGTTTCACTGCCATAAAGTAGGACGGAACGAACTGCTGCGCAGTAAACCCGTCCTTTGGTTGATAGACGGATATCTCGCTTACGCCATAAATGACGCAAGTTGGCAAAAGCTAGTCGAGCCTTCTGTATCCGACTCGGAAATGCATAACAAAACATTACTATAACACTAAAGAGTAACAAGCAAACAATTGTTAGAACATGTAAGTACAGGCTGAAACTATAAATACTACTAGTGATTGTAAGTTTTCATTTTATTTGTCAGCCTCTTGTTTTGTTGTCTACTACAAATCTTTATTGAAACAATCAGTCAGCTACAGAGTAGGACCAGACACATATATGCATCGGTCCAAGTTGCCATATCTCATCAGTACAACAAGATGAACACCAAGTTCATAGAACCAGTTACTTCAGTAGTAGTAAAAAAGATTCCGTATAAGGATATGATGCAGGAGAAATTAGTTCATAGAAAGTGAGGTATAAAGTAATTTCAATCTCACTGTTTAAGGGCAGACAGAGGTATATACACCTACGCCATTGTGACCGATTCTGAGGCATGTCACCCACAGCAGTCTCCAACCATTGGTTACGATAGTTGCGCGGACCCCAACTAAGTAGTCCGCATCTACCAACATGGCTCAGACCAGAAGTTAATGACTTTATGGACTGATGCTACGTTTTGGTTTGATCGATCCTAACCTATCTGTCTCCAACACCAGTCAGCATTGCGCGCTGTAATAATAGGTGGTCGGGCATGCGTAATACGTGGCCCAACCATCTTAGTCGGTGAAGATTTACAACTTCATCAATCGATTTACCATCATTCCCTAATACTCTGCGTCTAACCCCACTATTACTTACCCGGTGATCTCAACAGATGCTGGTAATATTCCTAAGACATCTGTGATCAAATGCTAGTAACTTGCAAGTGTCTTCTACTCTTAATGACCACGTTTCACAGCCATAAAGTAAAACAAAACGAACTGCTGAGCAGTATACTCGTGCCTTAATTGATAGACGGATATATCGCCTAAGCCATAGATGACGTAAGTTGGCAAAAACCAAATGAGCTCTTTGAATCTGTACTGAGATTTATTCAGACACCAACCCATTGGGGCTGATTAGACTTCTAAGATAAACGAAGTTGTCGATGCGTTCGACTACTTCACTCCTTATCCTTAGTTCAGGTGTTGACGCAACAACTTGCATTTAGAGGGGGAGGAACGCATCCCAGACATGATAGCACTGTTGTTCAGTACTACCAATACACTGCATTTTATCGGCGTTTTCATCATCTGCGTATTCTAAGTCGATAAGTGGACCTCCTGGAGGGAGATCAATGCCCGAAAATTCAGACGAAGAGAACGTTATTCCCAGCAGTAGGCCTATGAAGTTGAACAAAAATGGAAATAGGGGACAGTCTTGCCGGACACCACTTGGGGTTGCAAAATCAGATGACAGTTCGCCGCAAGCTCCGACTATACTGGTATTGTTCAAGTAAAGAGCCTTCACGAGGTTTATGTACTTCTGAGGTACACCTTTCAATGACAGACACTGCCACAGAACCTCTCGGTCTACAGAGTCAAATGCTGCTTTTAAGTTGAGAAAAACTATCGTTGTCGGACGCCAATAAGCATGCTTGTGTTCTAGAACCCGACGAAGGGTGAAGATGTGGTCAATGCAGCCACGACCAGGTTTGAAGGCGGCCTGATTTCCTCGTGTTTGCAGTTCACGCGTCTTTGTTAGGCGTCCGATAATCATTGAGGCTAGTATCTCAGACACTATATTACTTAAACTAGCCCTCTATAATTATCACAGGATGATTTTGACTCCTTCTGTGTTGCGACCAGTCAGATGGGATTATGTCCAACTCCCAGATTTTAGCTGAAATATTAGTCAACCTAACCGCTTAAACTAGACCATCATCCTTAAAGACCTCTGAATCCAATCCTTCTTTCAGATTAACTATAGCTCTCTGAACTTCATTTAGAGTCGGGAGACCTACTTCAATGTTCTATTCAGGCTGTTTAGAAATAGTGGGTAGTTGTAGAGTAGCTGAAGGCCGGTTGAACTGCTATTTAAAGTGTTCCGCCCATCATTCTAAACGTCTGGGTTGAGAGCAGATAAGAGTATCGTCTTTTTCCGAGATCGTCTCACACTTAACTTCTTAATCTCTGTTTCTTTTATTAGTCTGAAAAGCCGTCTGGTGTTACCTACAGTCGCTACCTTTTCCATCTATTTTGCTTTCGTTGCCCACCACTGCTCACGGTCGTTAGAGAATAAACATTAATTATCAAATGAGAAATAAAAATTGGAATGAAGCTTAACAGAACTATGTTGCTAAACTGAACAGTAGAGATAGTTTATGAAAATATGACTAGACTATCTACAAAAACGTATCAACACTATAACGAACTACATTAGAATGCCTCGGATTTGACTTGCATTACACATTACGAGTCACTAGGTACTGAAAAGACGACCATTAGCTTAGGTTTACATTACAAAATTATAAATGACTACAACAAAGTATGGTGGTAATCTAAGTTAATGAATGTTGGTCTTGTTTCATGTTCTTTTTTTGTCTTGACAATTTTTCGTTCTATTGGGAACTGTGGCGACGGGTACAAATGTACTTTCATGAGGTGACATGTCAGTTTGAGATTAGTCATCTCTTGTAAAGTCTGCACTTAGCTAGGTACTAGTAGTAGAAGGATTTCACTGAATTTATTGATCAAAGACGATATATTTCTATTAAGTACTTACATTTTTGTCTTCTTTCGCTTCAATATCAGGGTGAGTAAGTTCTATCAAACAGTCCATGAAGGAAGTCTGTAAAGTTCTAATTCAAGAAAAATTTCGGACATACTTTGCCATGATGCAAATGTCCACAAAGAACGACGTTGCGAATCAATTCTGGACAATCCATAAGATCAGCCAAGAATTCAGGGTCGTATGTTGTTGTTGGGATTGATGCTTCAGTGTAAGCAAACTTTTTGCGGCGAACTGGTTCTATTAATGGTTGTGTTAACGGCTGGGCATCTTCTTCCTGTACTAAGGTTTCAACCTCGGGACCATAGACTTCTAGTGCACTTGGATAATACTTTTTATCTTCATGAAGAATAACCTGAAACCAGAATTTGCACGAGATGTATAAACGTAGTTGCTGTGAGTTAAGATCCTAGAAAAAACTAATTTCAATTGGATGAGCTTACAGCATACGACAGGACGCTAAATACGAGTTATTCAATAGAAAAACATATTGATATGCAAAACCTATATATCATTTGATTTCTGCTTGGGAGAACCCTATTATCTAAGATATCACTAATTTACAAGTACTACAATTCAATAAATATAGGGTTTGGGTGACACGATTGTTTATATACACTGACAAGTTGGAGGAAACAGTGAAGCGATACTATTAGCTGCACAAAGAAACATTGAATGAATATATTTAGTTAGTTGCTGAAGACTGAATACCGGCTGAACTGCTACTTAAAGTGTTCCCCCCATCATTCTAAACGTCTGGGTTGAGAGCAGATAAGAGTATCGTCTTTTTCCGAGATCGTCTCACACTTAACTTCTTAATCTCTGTTTCTTTTATTAGTCTGAAAAGCCGTCTGGTGTTACCTACAGTCGCTACCTTTTCCATCTATTTTGCTTTCGTTGCCCACCACTGCTCACGGTCATTAGAGAATAAACATTAATTATCAAATGAGAAATAAAAATTGGAATGAAGCTTAACAGAACTATGTTACTAAACTGAACAATAGAGATAGTTTGTGAAAATGTGACTATATATATGGGAATACGTAGTATTTCGCGAAGCATAGTTATAATCACAACTGGATTTTTATAACTTTAATGACCACATATGAACGATTCACCTAACAAAGTGGAGAACCAGAGGAAACTACCGGCATAAGCAAAATAATGATGTCGGACCACTTCAAGGTTTGAGGAATCTTATTTGAAAAACTAAGCGTACATCCCGCTGGATTGAAGTTTCTTTTGAATGTTTCTCCGTAATTTGTGTGACATTTATCAGTATATCAGTGTCCGGAATGTTAACTGTATTTATACACAACGTCTGGTTGCACCCATTTGTGCTCCATCGTTCTGACGAGCAGAATAGATCCATAATTTACTGACTAGTGTGTCGTAACATTTTAGAGCTTAATCTAACTTACAGCCAAACTTTCTTCTTGCACATCATTTGTTTCAATGTGATTAACAGCATCCTGAGCCATATCTTCCTCCTCGGTACCTTCATCGTCAACACTATTTACATCGTCCTCCACCTCTTCGTCAGATAAAAGATCAGGCCCAATGTAATTCCCGAATTCATCATATAAATCCGTATCCATTTTTAGAATCAAACAAGATAATGAAGTTGATGATTGTGTCAACTGAAGTGCAGACTTCTAAAATACAGATAAAAGAGAACTAAAGTAATCAATCATGAAACCCGAAACAGCTGAAAAGAGCAAGAACATGAAGTTCAAGTCACAAGAACATTGAAATCTAGAAGTACCATTATCATAAAAAACCACTCGTACCCATCTGTAAACTACTAAATAACTATCCCAATCAGAGGGCCAAACCTATGAAGTACTAGTTCTACATTAAAATTATAGTTGCGAGTAATGGATGGAGTGGTAAGAAATGATTGGGCGGTAAGGGTTAATGCCAAAAATAAAATCGAAAGACGTCTAGCAGTTCTGTTGATGAAATCCGCATTTCCATGCAGAAATCATATTTAGTACAAAGAATACCCAGTTGTTCTGTGACACAAAGTAAATGCATTCAGTACACCGAAAGCTAAATGACTATCATTCTGCAATAAACATGGGATTTGAAACACAGATATGTCCAAGTTACCACATTTCATATAAAGATGAGCTGGAACTAAAATAAGGATGATGATAATAATGACAAACGATGTGGTGAGCTGAACACGGGATATAGTTAAGGAAAAACAGATTAGTTCGGCAAGTAAATATAAAGTATGTTTCGGATTTGGTGGGTAGCATAATAAATATGTGCTGGTCATGTCCTTTTTAACAGCTGAATTGGTCATACAACAGGGCAAAACAAATTAACAAAGGATTTCTAGTTTCTTGGTTTATTAAGTCAATATTATAACTGGATACAAGTGGATTGTTAATTATAACGATACCTATTTTTATATACCGGTTTATGATATAAAGGGTTCAATTAGCTTGCCAAAATTGAGATAGGTGACAGAGGCCGTAAATATACAACTTATTAGATAAATTTCAAGTGAACCACCCACTAAACTACAGCCACTAAATAGTCCGACCCAAAGGTACCATTTACCAAGAATGACGTGACGGAAATGGAACGAGTTTCATGTTCCGTTGGTAACTTGTGACGGTTAGAGTTTTGCAAAATGGTATATGTGTAAATTTCACTGTAAAAGTTCTCTTTTTGTTTTGTACTGAGCTACTCGATCAATTGGCTGGCGTTGGAGTACACCTCTCGATAACATGCGTATAAATTAGCTTTCTACTAACCGCAACCGGGCAGACATATATATATACATATATCCAACCGATAAGTTCGAACTAAATGTCACTTTTATTCAACTGTGTTGCTAATGCTGCAATTTTAAATGACTTTAGTAACGTCAAAGCTATATTAAAATACAGGACAATTTCAAAAAGGGCAGTGATTTTTGTACTTGTTGTGATTATACTTGCTTTTGGTACTTATTGCACTAAAAAGCATTCTTGGTCTACTTTAACTAAGAGTTCTTTGGTTAAAGTTTGAAATTTTTTGCTACATTTGGTCTTAGGTACCTGTTTTTAGTCCTTGACTAAGACTTGTGTTCACATTGTTATCGTTTTTTGTTTTTAAACCTTTTAAATCGAATTACAATGGTTAGTAAGACTCACAAATGTGGGCAACCAAATTGTTTGTTCTCCGTTGAGGAGGGAATGCAGTGTGACGACTGTAAAAAGTGGTATCACAAAATGTGTACACGACTAAGTCCGACGGCTTACAAAAGATGCTCGAAGCCTAACTCGCATTGGCTTTGTGCGTTCTGCTGTACGGATAAAAAAGGTACTAATACAGGAGGCTATGGGCTTATTGGCTTTGGCCTGCAAGAAAAACGATGGCGGAAGCACTGATAACAGGAGTACTGACGATGAAGAATGTATCAGTGTAGTAAGTGCTGCTACTGGACCCATTAAACACCTGACTGCGGTTGACGGGAACGTGAAGTCTCCGTTGACATTAACGAGAAATGAAGTGTCGCCTGATATTGACATCGGCAGTCATACACCTCTAGTCGAAATAGAAGATCCGGATAAAACTGTCACCGTTCCACATAGTCCAGGTGTGGCTGTTCTGAGTGGTGACAGATGGACTCCGGTAAGAAGAAAAAAATAAGAAGAAAAAGGCTGTAGGCAAAACGCAGCTGGTCAGCAAGACATTGGAAGGGACTTTATCAGAAGAAAAATCCTCACCGCGTGAAAAGACAGATCTCTCTGAGAGATCAGTCATTTTTCATAAGATAAGAGAATCTTCAGACACTGAACCAAAGGCAAGATTTGAACATGATCTCAATCATATTAAGACATCATTAAGTAAACTACTCCCAGATACAGTTTCAGGAGTTAGTATTTGTAAGCTTTATAGAATAGGAAAAAAGGTGGATTCCGAAAGTCCTCAGAAAAACCGCCTCCTAAAGGTTACATTCAATACGGTGGAAGAAAGGAACCTGATTCTAAATAATTCACGTAAACTGATTGGATCCGAAATATATATCCGTGAGGATCTCAGCCTAGCTGATCGTATTAAAAGATGAGCTGCAGAAGCGGAAATAAACGAGCGTCGCCGAAACGGTGAAAGAAACCTCGTTCTTAAAGGTTTTAAAATTGTAAAAGTTCGGAGCAAAACGATCCCCAAACCACTCTGGGTGGCAAGGGGAAGCTCTCCACAGACTTAAAGTTGTGCTACACAAATGCTCGCAGCCAACCAAATAAAATGGCGGAGCTCAAGTCAGTGGTGGATAAAGAAAAACCGGACGTTATTGCTGTCTCGGAAACTTGGTTAACGTCAGAAGTATTAGATAGTGAAATCCAGTTGACTGGTTTCATAACCAGTAGGGCTGATAGATTAAACCGTAGGGGAAGCGGGGTTATTCTGTACACGAAAAGTACCCTAACCATAAGATTAGCTAAGACAGTAGCACATGTTTCAGGAACATGTGAACTGGTGAGATGTAAGTTAAAATGCCGAAGGCAAGATATTGAAGTAGTTGTAGTATATCGCAGTACAGAATGTGTAGCAGATGATTTTCTCCTAAGTCAACTTAAGTCCTGGTGTAACAACGGTAAAAGCCTTGTAGTAGGCGACTTTAATGCACCATATATAAACTGGGTTAACTTAGAAGTAGAGTCATCTATATCGTCGTTCGACTCCAAACTGTTAGAAACCTCGATTGGACTAGCATTATTCCAACACATTAGAGATCCCACAAGATACGACTTAAGAAACTCTTCCTCTCTTTTAGATTTAGTCTTCACACACGGTGATGACGTTGGTCAAACGGCTTTTCTCCCACCACTTGGGAGAAGTGACCATGCAGTCATCTTATTCGAATTCATGGCTAAAATTGCTTCTCAAACAATTGCGCCGGCCCGTCCTAACATATGGAAGGCAGATATAGAGGCAATTAACTCCGCAGCATCGGCTGAGAACTGGGAAATTGACTCAAGGGCATCAGAACAATAGGCATGGACTCTATTCAGGCAGTTATACAATCGGGTAACTCAACCATATATACCCTGGACAGTTCCAAAGAAGAAGAAGCACGGCCATCTCTCGATAGGCCAGGATATTCGACGCTTACTAAGACAAAAGAAGAAATGCTGGGATGTTGCCATCCGCCTTGGCACAGCAGGTACGATGGAACACTACAGATCGATAAGAAACGTGTGTATAACTGAAATTCGTGAAGCCCGAAGAAAATATGAAATGCAGCTGGCAGAATCTGCACTCAAACAGCCCAAGAGGATATTCTCGTACATAAACTACAGAACAAGGACTCATCACTGGATTCCCAACCTAATTAAAGTAGGAAGTGAATCTGAAATGATAGAGGAAGATCAGGAAAAAGCTGAGGTTATGGCTGACTACTTTGGGGCAGTTTTCACTCAGGAACCTCCTCTAGAGGAAGAACCAGACCCAATTACAGAGTCAACAAACCAGCTGCTCACCGTGGACTTCGACCAAAACGATGTGCTTAAGGCTCTTAGCACCCTAAACATGGGGAAGTCAACAGGACCAGATGAACTACACCCTAAAATCTTGAGACATATTGCCGAATATATCGCAGCCCCACTGACTGTGATATTCAAAATGTCACTCGACCAAGGTATGTTACCTATGGACTGGAAGGACGCAATCGTCACCCCCATACATAAAACTGGTCTACGACAAGTCCCATCAAATTACAGACCCGTAAGCCTCACCAGTGTTGTAATTAAAATACTGGAAAGGATAATCAAACGGACCATAACAGCATTTATGGAAACCAATAACTTGCTGAACATGGCACAACATGGTTTTAGAAAGGGTATATCCTGTACAACGAACCTCCTTATAGCTAGGGAGCTCTGGATTAATGCGCTAGACAACGGAAACTCAGTGGATGTTGTCTACATAGACTTCAGTAAGGCTTTTGACAAGGTGCCAACTAATAGACTGCTATTGAAGTTGGCAAACCTTGGTATTGCCGGACCTCTTTTAAAATGGATTAAGGATTTCCTAGTAGGTCGTAGGCAAAAAGTAAGAATAAATTCCAAGTGCTCCATTTGGAGACCAGTACTTAGTGGAGTACCCCAAGGTTCCGTCCTAGGTCCTTTACTTTTTATAATGTACGTTAATGATCTTACAAGTATAGTACAGTCTCCAATGTTATTATACGCTGACGATGTAAAAATTTGGCGAGTAATAACTGGAGACACAGACGCATTTACTCTTCAGGCGGACTTAAATAATATGATAAACTGGTCTAAAGAGTGGCTAATGCCTATCAACTCGGAAAAGTGTGTCTACATGCACTTGGGGGATTCAAAGGTTAATACGTACAACATAGGGGATGTGTCATTACCCGTAGTCCGGTCTCATAAGGATCTAGGGGTGACAGTGAGCAATGATCTTAAGACGACGGCCCATTGCCGGGAGATCGCAGTTAAGGGGTTTTGAACCCTCTGGGCTTTAAAAAGGACATTCACTAAGCTTGATACTACCATGTTCATCACATTATACACATCCTTAGTGAGAACTAAGTTAGAGAACTGCGTTCAGGCTGCAAGCCCCTGCTTAAAAGGTGACTCAGACATACTAGAACAAGTACAGAGGGCAGCTACCCGTGCAATTCCGGAACTCCAAGGTTTATCATACAAAGAGCGGCTCGAAAAACTGGACCTCTTTACTCTGTCCTATCGCAGACTAAGGGGAGATCTAATATTGATGTACAGAATACTGAGAAATGATTTCGGACCTAACTTATTCTCTCTCTTTCTTCCCACTAGATCGGGACACCTCAGAGGACATAGCAGGCGAGTAGAAAAGCCAAGAACGAACAAAATACCCCTGGCATACAGGTTTTCACACCGAGTCATCAATACTTGGAACCTGCTGCCTGAAGCAGTGGTATCCGCACCTTCAATTGACTCTTTCAAGAGAAGACTGGACACTCACAGAAGCATACTAGAAAAGGAATAACATAGGCCGTAGGGCTTCTGTCCTTACTACACAAATCTGAATCTGAATCTGAATATTGTATGAAAGTCAAAATACATGTTCACATCAATGCTAAAATCTGAAGCTGTGGCAAAAACGCCGTAGTAAAACTACGGAAAGCCATTAAATATCTCAGGAGCTAAGTATCAATTTCTTAAACACTTACAACCTATTAGCTAAGTTTCAATTGCCTCAGTTCATCCTAACTTAGGATTCAATCAGTTACAATCGTGAAACATTCCTGCTCTATAAGCTTCAATTAAAAGTCAACAACGACAAACACTAGGGCAACAAAATCTAGCTGACTCACCAAAAACACAAACAAGGGTAACGTAAAGCCCACAACCTCGCCAGAATTTAGTGCGCGGCAATACAAACAAATGGGTCAACAATGTCCAATAACTGAATTAAGGAAACTAATCTGTTAATCATAATTATCACAGCAGTTCTTTAAAATTTATGTTTTTATAGAGTCGACAATCACAGTCGCTATTCAGTGCTTGGTTGTTTATTCAAATAATCAGGGTAATGTTTATTTACCCTGTTATTATGTTTTTATCATGAAGCCAGATCTACATGCATATTTTGACTCATTGTTTTGTTATTTAAAGCCTTTCGGAAATAGATAACCACCGATTATTTGTCTGAAGGTTGTAAATCCATAATTACAGGCTGTAGATCTCTCAAAGAATGTCTAAACTTACACATACAACTTAAAACATTATATTGTTAACCTTTATTAACAAGATATAAGTAAGTTGGTACTGTGATGATAGAGAGCATAATTAAATTGAAGGCCTCAGTGGACAGGATGAAACAATCCTAGTTTGTATTTCACCCAAAGGTTACTGAACTCTTGGCAGTTGCAAATTGGTGCTACTTTTTGGCTCATCTGTACTGTTGTTAGTTCATCTTCATATATGCTTAAGCATTCAATCAGATACCCATATATTTTACCACATCTTTGTATATCACATGGGTTAAATGTATCGACGCGTTGTGTCTTTTCTGGATTTAGATAGAAATTTCGGTGACAAATTTTCACGTGGCTTAAGTATTTTGGTGACTAGTTCGTTTGAAAGACGTGTTATACTGAGATTTTCATTTTGTCTTGCATATCCGGTATGTTTTACCCAGAAATCGTACTGTTTACTGTTCATTTGACTACCGTGAGCTTACGTTTCTAAATATTTAATACAAGTCCCCACCAGTTTATGATTTTTGTCTTATTTATACTGCTTTAAATACCAATACTCAATAGATAGTTACTTAAGCAATAAATAACGGTTAGGCTAGTCAGATCACTACCTACTGGTGCATAAAATCGTTTCACCAATTATTACAAAACTCTCCTACTTTTCATAGTAATCGTAAACAATCGGAATTATTTGCGAGAGATAGAACCTCAAAGGAACGTAAATATACAAACTGATCCTTCTTTTACACTGGTCACTCAAGTGGTATGAGTGATCCATACACTCTAGTACGACTTCACATCATTGTTTAGCATGCTCCTTATAAGCATAAATACATTAAATTATAGTCAGTGATATGGCCTCAACTGTTCACGTCTGAGAATTATATTCTAGTGATACTTGTAACCATAACTAGGCTAACTAATTTGCATCTAAGTGTTTTAACAATGTCCTCAAGACGCAAATAGACTCACTAGCTAGTTGATCAGAAGCAATATGATCGTTCCCTAACAGCACATGTTTAATCAAAGTTGACGTAGATTGTTCCATTAATGGCAATCCTCACTACCTAGCGCAACATAAACTGATGGATAGTTTAATGTTTGTAAGCATAGAGTCCGAACCCAGTACCTTGGTCCGTAAAAATACTAACGCATGACTCTGTGGATATTCTGTAGTTAGTCATGAGAAACAGGATAGCTTGACTTAGACGACCTTGGTTTGTTACACTGCAGCTATTTAGTCAACACACCAGAGAACCCTAACTCCATAATATTGAGTGAAACTGAGATAATCTACCAAGCATCTTCAGAAATACCTAACAAACTCCAATGTACGTAAAGCACTTGATAGCAATCTAAAGTCTGTAAAAACATACCATCCCAAAATTATATCCCTCTAAACAGCTGGTGATTTTGCGAGAGATTACTTAAGACAAACATATGAATGACCCCACTCTAAACATTCTCATTTCTCTGGAACTACCAAAACAGCCTGCTTCATTTGTGTTCTTTCACAGTTTGGTCACATCCCAACATTCAAACGTGACCCCAAACTAACGTCGTGCTATTAAATCAGGTTTAAGGTCCTTAAGAAGACCACGAAATGGTATTTTCCGGCTCTAGGAGCAATCACGGCGCTAGTACGGACAACCATAAAAGTCCATGTCTAGCCCCGAACTTGACTAACCGTATCAGAGTTATAGAAGATCTGAACAACTACACCAATAATCAAACGTCATTTGTCTTTTGAGTCAATTTTAATTGGACTTATCTGTTCTAACCTTCATTCCTCTGCTACTACGATTAACCATCGTAAGAAAATTCGTGGAACATATTTGCCTCTCGATGATGCCATACCAATCCATCACTATAGAACGCCTATTAGAGATAACCTTAAGTGCCACAAGAAACAGTTTGTCGCTATACACCATGCAAGCACATCTTAAAAAATAGGCTCAAACAATACCCTATATCTAATTAAAGCAGTTGGCAACCCTGAAAACCCAAAAATCAATAAACCCCACGAGACACTACCTAGCTTTTACGATGGTTACCGACCACATATCTTTAATACTGTTTGTGTGCACTCCGGTTGTTGGGTTAACAAAACGGCACTTGCGGATAATGATACGATGCATATAACAAGGTCTTCGTAAGCATATGTACGTTCTCCAATCATCCGTATATATATTAGAGTACCCGGCTGCATCCAGTGTTACTAGCGCTTTTATTTATCCAGTTCTCAATAATTTTCATAAATTGCATTTATCTCAATCTGGATCGAGCGAAAAAATTCTATTCTAGCAAATGTCTTCCTCTAACACATTGTATCGAAAGACAACATCGTTACGTCAGTACACACAAGGTCCACAAGTCATTCGATCATCACGGAATAAAGGAACTTCCTAGTGGTCCTATTTGTTGTAGCCGCTAAATTATCAAGTTTTCACTAAGATCCTCCGTAAACTGATCGTACGTGAGCATTAGGTACTGAAACTGGCGCCATGACCTTGAAAACTCCCAAACGTTTATGACTGGCTCGTCCATAAATTATGGTTTCGCCACATTTTTACCACTACCATCTTATTAATCAGTACAAGCCGGTGGTTACATCTTCGAATCCACAAGAATCATATCCGCAAAAAATAATGTAAAACTTTTCAGTCCTGTCGATAGCCATTTCAGAACAGGTTTGTTCGTCGGTCCTCCTGATGGCAAGTCACCGACCCTATGCAACTAACTACTTGCCCCTTTCAGCTTCGAAAAAACACCTTAAATTTCTGTAGACCTCTTCCGGGATGTTATTCTACCTCTAAATGTTAGAGACAATAATTCCACTCTTCTAAAGCCATCCACTACATAATTTGATGGTGTGGTTGGTAAGCCCTCCCATTACTAACAATCCTGTAACAAGTTCATGTTTGACCTTTTTGTTAAACCCCCAGATACATCGTTCATCGACCAAACCCACCACACTTCACCTATTCCTGTGGTTCTTGGGAATGAATTAACCTCATGTTCTCGAACGACAACCACAACGCTCTTCTGAGGATCATCGGTTAGCTAAGAGGAATCGACTGTAAATCTCAACTGTTTAAACGCCTACCTAAATAACTGTTCACTCATTAGGTGAGCTGGTCACTTGTTCCGTTTTAATACCCCTTCACCGTTTTCTAGTATTCGATTTACATCCCGCTCTATCTGCAGTAAGATGTTCCGTCTTAGATCCTTAGCTTACTTGGTCGGTTCATGCTACATTCTAATTACCGAACCCCACTGAAGATGCGATAGCTTTGATTTGACACAGTTTAGATGGTTGCTACACAAAGAAAAGAACTAAAAAGGAAAGGAAAAGCAGATTCATGTAGTTTTAGATCATCTGAAGTACATATTTCGATTTTGAAGTCCTAAAAACGAGTCTGCTTCATGAGATTAATTGCCGTGGTTCAAATAATTCTCAATAGGCAACTACAAACTGCTTTTATTATTACATGGAAGTTATTCCTCTAATACATTCTTTCTGTGTATGTGGGGCGTTTGTGATTCCTTTGATTTGTAAGGTCCTGAAATACTTTCAGTACTTCAGCACTGTTGGCTTTGAGACAGTTAAAGGTCGTGACCGCAATTAAATTTGACAATAAAATCGCTACGAAGGGGCCTAACAATTTACAAATCAATTGTCATAGCACATAAACACTATAATCTGACTCCCTATATCCTGTCATCGTTTTTATTATTTTTGTTTTCCGAAATGCAATATTGAGTGATAGCTCATTTTGTGAATTCAATTTTATGTATAGTTTTGGCATCAAGAAAGTACTGTGGAGTTATCTAGATCTTATTGCTGTACAGTTACAGGTAAACGATATATCGGTGTAATGCTTTTCACGCTTCAGTATCCTTTCAACTAAACTACACCACAGTTTAATGGTTTGCAGACATTAGAAATATACTCAGCTTATTATTAAAAGATTTTGATAACAAAGTGTGATGTTGCTCAAAATTCGGAGCAAACCTTACACTGTAGGTTATCTTGTGTTAAACACTTCACTCTATAATTTTATATCATTCTGTTATCTGATAGACGGGTTTGCAAAGCGTATATTGTGCAAAAGTTCCCTTCAGTTTAATGAGGCCTTACTAGAGTATGTCAACTGTCATTCATAAAGGAGCATGTTAGGGGTTAGTAACTGTGTCACTTTATCACTTGTGTATACGGTGCAGCAACCATAGGTAAGTGATTAAACGTCAGTCAGGAAACGTCTATTAGACTAAGAATATTATGGGAGCTAGAGTTCTTTCCTTGCTTATTTTAAGTGGAAGTTGTATTTCCCATCATCTACTGAATAGCGAGATGCTTGTGTGCATAAATAAAGTAGTCCCGCGCCCAATTTGCTGCCCGTGTCGTGCAATGAACATCACACCCGAACTCTCGAAACCTTTTTCCAGTTACATTACCTATCACACTATTCATAACTTCCTTTTATTTGTGCAACCACTGATATTAACTGTGAAGTGTTGTCTAAATTCACACTGAACAATATCGCAAATTAGTTTGCATTTTATACTGATCATAGCTAGTCAAGTACACCAGCTTCTCTTATCGCACAAAGTTTTCTGTGAACCTGGTAGTCAACAGATCTCTTGTTTACTTGTTACATATATTTACAACTTTTGCTTTTAAAGTCAGCTGACTTAAACATATGACAACGGTGCTGGTACCCTATGATCTGAAGGCTTATGCTGAGACAAAAATGCCTTCTGAGCAAGTCTTACACTGGTAACGTTAAAGAGCACTTTTGACTAGTTCGACGGAAGAAATTTCCACCTAATCTTCAACGGTATTATCCTCAGTTACAGTATGGAGACAGCGTTTTTTCACTCACTATAACAGGATAATTACATGCTGAAATGTACCCAACAGCGAGCCTCGAAAGAAGTTATTGGACTCAAATTCAAGTCTTGTGAAGAGTGCCTCGAATCGCTGAACCTTTATCCACTATAACTCAGGAGTCTTAGAGGTGACTTTCTAATGACGTAAAGCGTCCTAAACGATTCTGGACATCCCCTTAAACACCTACTTAAACTTAGTCCCGACACAAGCCTTAGGCCTAACACTCGGAAATTAGAAACACTAGGTAGGGGAGCCAGTTAAGTGAAGGATCCTTTTATTTTGTCCAGGACCATTTGAAACCCACATATTGGAATGCACGCCGTATTTCAAAAATACCAGATGCGTGCATTAGTTTTGCATTTAACTGCCGGAACTATTGACCATACAGTAGCAAGTAGCCTATTACAGTGATTGCATCAATCAAATGGGGGTATAAAGTGTGTGTGAATAATGAAAAATCTTTATTGCAACTTCAATCTGTAATAACTGTCTCCACAGGACACCAAAGTCAAATAACCGATGTCCACTTAGGAAAGCTGAAGAATGACTTTCCTGTCTAGCGAAAAGTGCCATTTTTAACAGACTTGCACATACCTAGAATTTCCAGCGTCTACTTTCAGTCATCCGTCTGAACTAGTAAATTTCTCAAACACAAATTTTTATTGTGTACAAATATGTATAATAACTGCTAAAAACGAATACTACCGTTATTGTACTGTTATTTAATCTTAAGAGTGTACCACTTGGCTGTCTGTAATAAAGTTCAGGCCACATGTCGTAATAGGTTTACTCATTACTTGCACGATGACAGTCGGAGTATCTTAACCGGCGGGTAAACAGGACTATGTTGCATAGACTCAGACTAGCAGAACAAGATACTGAACATTGTTTGAAAATCTTGTCTACTAATCCCAATTACACAGGAACAAATAAGTATGGTAGATCACAATAGAACCAATCAAATTGGTTCACAATTTTATCCATACTCTTGTTTTTATGAAACTCAACACAAAAGATAACACTAGTGTGAATTGTTTCAGCTGGACTGTTAGCAAAAGACGTGACGTCACAAAGCCTGATCCACTAACTTTGCTTTTCAAATTGGATTCCTAGTTCTGATACATTCTTTAATCCAAGCGCTTTTTGGTGGTTCCGAAGATAATCTGGACGGGTAAGAATCAATGATGTTGTCGGAATACCTCAAGTAAAGTATTCAGAAGGAAAACAAAGGAAAAGCCATAATGGTTGATACGATCAATATACTTAAACAAAAGCAGAGATAGGTACAATTTGGGATAGCGAACTGATTATCTCTGTATAGAGAAACCTTTTACGAATTCTGTAGTGGCTCACGGTCAAGATGTCTTAACAAGCTCCCTGATATAGAAGTATTCGTTGAAATTGGGAACATCATGATCAAGGTCAAACATCAACTTAGCCATTAATTGAGCCCACTTATTTGTTACGAAACCTTGCTTTCCCATAATAAGGCCGTGATAATTTTTAGGCATCACCGACCAGAATTCTAAACACAATAGGACCGGCTCTGATAACCTGCCTTAGAAAAGCTTGATAGATCTTCACTGTTGAGGGAATTAAACTGTTGACGATTGACCATTATTTGGTCATATTGAGAAGTACTTAGGCGATAATTCATTTGTATTTTCCGTATTGTGGAGTGCAGAGCAACCCTTTGGAAAGCGAAACAGTTTTTGTCATGAAACTAACTTTTTTTAACTTTCGCTACCGGGTAGTTGTATAATGTATCATTTAGATGTTGTGCAGAATTAAGACTAGTTCTTAAGGTGGTAAATCGTTTCAGCCTCAGCCGTTTAAATCTGTGTTAATTACAGTTACAGTTGGATAAAAAAAGTACACACTGTACTATATCTTCACGGTTATTGATTCTTAAATGTC